TGCTATGAATGATGGCATATCACTTTTCGCCTCCTCACCCTCTTTAAGACCCCGAAATTTAAGGTTTGACTGCCTCCATTTGTTTTCAAGGATTACTAGCCTGTTCAAAGTAGAATGTTCAAAAGATTGGAGAGAACGTACCTCTTCCTGCATCGTGATCGCGAGTTCGGCCGCTGTGTCTGCCGTTTTCGCTATTTCTTTGATCTCTTGTACCATACTTTTAATGGAGGTTTGAATTGGTGCAAACAGTCCTTCTACAATAGCCGTCATAGATTGTAGAATGTCTTCTCTGAGGTCCTGCAGATCCCGTCGAGTTAATGGGGCCGGGTCTACATCGGCTGGGTTAACCGCCGCGTTTCTTTCGGGCGCCATTTTGTCTGAGTCCGTTTGGCCTAATTCAGAGCTGTCTGGCGTTTTAGGAGGCGAAAAGAAATTCTTAACAGAGTTTCGCTTACTTTTATAGGTCGCTGGTTGTTTCCCAAGCTGGGTGTAGGATCCCTTTTTTGGCATTAAGGCGATATAAGGCGATTTCTAGTTAGGCTTAGAGGGTTGGAGACGGGAGCTCCTCGCTATGTAAACCCACTAGTCATGAGTAACTTGGCCCTCCCTGCAAAAGAACTTTGATAACCTTTCTGAAAAGAATTTTACCGAACTCACGCCAGGCTGACGTCACTTCTAGGGTGTTGGGACTGGGAGGGGTTCCTGATCATGGGCTGGGGTTGCTGGATGTAAGGAGGCCTATAGCCCTGCTGGAAGGGTGGAGGACCCTGGTATCTATGATCTGGGGCACGACAGGACCTTGGCTGGTGATACCTCTGAGCATGCTTCGGGAAATACCTTTGCTTAAAAGGCGTCGCTGAGTTGTGAGTTATGCCCAGAGACTTAGGAGTCAACCTGTTCTTTCTAATGTGGTCCAAGACTATATCAGCTTGGTCACCAGAGGTCATTTCGGGGGGGGATCGCGGGGGATCGCCGTTCCCCCGGGTGAGGTACGGGGGGCGGGGCACATGACAAAGCCCCGCCCCCTGCTTCCGGCCGCCCTGTTTCCGGCCCTCATTCAGCCAGGAGGAGGCAGGAGAAGAGGGAGGGTAAGTTGCTTCCTCCCTGCCTCTCCCCACCCCTGCCTGCCTGGGGCCAGGGAGGGCCTTCGCGGGGCTTCCTTGCACTCCTGCTCAAGGCCGGCGGCGGCGGCCGGGACCGTTGGGGGCGGGGTGTGTGGCCTTATGACACACTTCCGGTTATGTCAGGAGGTGTGGCCTTATGACACACTTCCAGTGATGTCAGGGGGTGTGGCATATGCTAATGAGTTCTGCTAATGAGTTCCCCTAGCTCTTTTTCTACGAAACGACCCCTGTCGGTCACTAAAGAGGTCTTCTGTTTTTGCCCTTGTATCCTGTGGGAGGGCTGAAGAGCGGAGGCAGGAGTGTCTCCTTATGACCATGCCAGAGACCCTCGACCATCGGCTCCGTGACAATCGCTCTTCGGATAGACAACTTGCTGGTGGTCCCGAGCCCTAAAGCTATCCGGCTGCCCTTGACCAGGAGCTTTTTGGTCCTGGCCCCAGCCTGATGGAACCCTCTGCCAAATAACATCAGGGCCGTGCGGGACCTTGTGCAATTCTGCAGGGCCTGTAAGGCAGAGCTGTTCCGCCAGGCCTTTGGTCGAGGACAGCAACGGTTCCCATCGTGGCTGGCACCCTTTTCGCTCCAGTTGTCTCTCATATCTGCTTTGCTCTCCTCTCCCTTGCCAGCGAGGCAGCCGGCAGTCTGAAATGGGACCAATTAGTATATGCCATCTATCTGCTTGAAATATGTTAACGGTGTTTTAATTATTTTATCTTGATGTTCTTATGAATGATGTACATCACTCGGAGCCCTGCATTGCAGAGACTGGGCGATTAACAAATGTAATGAATGGATAATGAACGGATGTCTGGCAGCGTTCAGCTGCTGCTTTCCTAGCTTTTTGGCCTTCTGAAATGAGGGCCTTTGCTATGGTTTGGTTATGGTCAGGTGCCATTTCTACAAACTGTGTCATCTTTTCCCATCATGCCATTTGGTAGCGGCCCGTGACCAGTATGGAATTAGCCACCCTCAGTCCCATTGCGCCAGGCGAGTAAGAAGGAGAGTGGATTTATACCCCGCCTTTCACTTGGAGTCTCAGAGCAGCTTACAGTCTCCTCTCCCTTCCCCTCCCCACAACAGACACCCTGTGAGGTGGGTGGGGCTGAGAGAAGTCTGACAGAAACTGCTCTTTTTCAAGGACAGCTGCGCCAGAGCTTGTGACTGAGTGGGGAATCAAACCCGGTTCTCCCAGATTAGAGTCCGCACACTTAACCACTACACCAAACTAGGTCTTTCTTAGTCCCCTCTCCCCCCCGGGGGGGGGGGGAGCGAATGGCCGCCTGCTCTTCCCTTAGCAGGGAGGACTTCCGATTCCGAAACCAGGAAGTCTGCTTGGAGGTGGCGAAACAAGTAGTCATGGCCAATGCTCCCTCTAGGCTGCGGAGTCTTGTGAGCAAAAATTCTGCTTTGTGATCTACTGGCATTAAAGCTGTGAGCGAACGATTTGGCTGCTGCATAAATTAGTTTGCTCTGGAGCCCTCTCTTCCTGAGCGAAGGCAAAAAACGTGTGAGCCGGAGGCTAAAAAACGGTGAGCCGGCTCACAGTAACTCAGCTTAGAGGGAACACTGGTCATAGCCCTCTTCTCTGAACCTGTATAGGTTCTCTTCACCTGGGACATAACTGACCACCTGTGCCCTTCTTGTAAAACAAGTATTTCTGTTTCAATTCAAGCAACTGTGTGTTTGGGGTCAATGGGATCCCATTCATCTGGGCATGCAGCACTTTCATTTTCCTATTAATTCCACGGGTGGCCATAAAACCTTGATGGCACTGTAGTTTTAACTTTAAAAATGAAGAAAATAAAAGGGGGAGAAGTCTGACCTGCCTTGTTATCATTGAAAAGTATAGTTAAGGGGTACAAATTTGCTAAAAGGTTTTATGACCCCCCCCCCTTTTGTACATCTCTAGGGATTATGGATACTTGGAGCTGCGGTGGCTCAAGTGGTTAAGACGCTGAACTGCAGGCTGTGGAAGGTCGGTAGTTCGGCAGTTCGAGACCCGGGTGCCGCATGACGGAGTGAGCTCCCGTCTCTAGTTCCAGCTCCTGCCAACCTAGCAGTTCGAAAGCAAGAAAGTGCAAGTAGATAAATAGGTACCACTTTGGTGGGAAGGTAACAGCATTCCGTGCGCCTTGGTGTTTAGTCATGACCACGGAAACGTCTTCGGACATCGCTGGCTCTTCGGCCTTGAAACGGAGATGAGCACCGCAACCCTAGAGTCGGATCCGACTGGCTTTCGAGCAAGGGAACCTTTACCTTTTTACTAGGGATTATGGGATGTCACCGGTGAAAGAGGTTTAATGGGCATTTTATGGGGGAAGTCACGGCTTCAAACCCTACAATGTGTGCCGTTCAATATCAAGCCAGCCAGTAAGTTACAATTTTTAAAACTCTTTTATTTTATGATGTAACAATTACAAACTGCTCGAACGTAAGAACAAGAACCTCAAAGGAAAGTGTGCCTGGTAGGTTCTTAGCCAGGGCTGATTTCCTTGGAGAGGGGCCGTGGCTCAGTGGCAGAGCCTCTGCTTGACGTGCAGAAGGTCCCACATTCAATCCCTGGCATCTCCAGTTGAGAAAAAAAAAAGGACCCGGTAGTAAGTGATCTATTTATTTAAAACGTTTATTAACTGCCTTTCTTCTGTGCAGAACTACGATGATGTGAGAGACCTCTTCTGCCTGAGACCCTGGAGAGCCAGTGCCAATCAGGGTAGACAGTATTGACTTTGAGGGACTGATGGTCTGGTTCAGTATAAGGCAACTTCATGCGTGTTCAAGGCGGGCAACAGAGCCGACATGTTCCCGGAGCAATCTTGCTGCTGGCGTCGCCAAGCATTTACCTGGGTCCAGGCCGGCACGGAGTGTTCGCTCTCTTGCAATGGGAGTTCGTTCTAGCTCTGCCTCCCGTTCCTGCCGCTTCTCGGCACTGGAAGAAAGCCCTGCAAAGTTGGAGGCACATCTAGAATCACAAGCCTGGGAGGAAAGGGGCGTTTTCTCCCTCGGCCAGGTGCCACGCCAGGCGCGACGGGGAGGGTGAGAACGGGGGTGTCTGTGCCACTCCAAAATGAGAATTAGAATCTGTGGGGTCTGTAATTTAGCTCTCCTACCAATCCTCCCCCCCCCC